TCTCTAGGACTGCTCCGGTCTTGAGAAGTCCGAGGGTGTGGAAAGGGCCTATAATGTGAGGTCGTACCAGCCTCTCTACCTGGCTCCTCCACAGACCCCAGCAAGGGATAGGAACAGGGTTGGCCCAGGCTCAGGGGCCCTGCCAATGAACATGTCCCCTGTCAGGTATTAATAGGTGTAAGTCTTGTCCCAGGCCCAAAGTGACAAAAAAAAAAATATTTTTTTCCCCCTAGGAGTGAGGTCTGGTCTGCAGAATGAGATCTCTTTCTCTGTGTATCCACTGTGGTGATGGATTCACCACAAACTTCTCAATGGAGGCTGACATTTCTTACAAGAAATTGAGAACAATAAGCAAGTTCGAATCCTTCGGTGAGTCATCTTTCTGCCTGTGTTTTTCCTTGCTCATCCCTCTGTCTCTGCCAATTTCGAGTCAGAGACAACTTGTCACATGATTCCTTTTAAAACTGGGCTCCGGTTGGAGCTGCTTTTCCTACCCACTGCCCATCTGCCTGCTCTAAAGGCGATCAAAGTGCTGGGTGGGGCAGGGAGAATTGCCACAGAGCGCTCTCAAGTCAGAACTGAAATATTCGATTGGACTTGGTCCTAACAGAGGCAATTTTATTACCCTAAATGTCCTGGAACCCTGTTGCCTCTGGCGCGAGAAGGCTTCAGCCTGGGTCATTCCCGGACAGCTGTCTGCTGCTCGCCTTGGCCTCCTTCAGCAAGTAGCTGCAACATGAGTCATGGAAGCTGACTTCCGAGAGGCTGAACGTGAGGTGGCAGCAGAGGAGAAAGGCTGGGTCTTCCTCCTGCTTAGGGGTGAGAGGCCAGCAGGCTGTAGTGGCCACTGGGTCCCTTGGCGATTGTAGTGGGGACTGAGGTGTCAGCGTCAGCAGGAGGAGGGGAAGCCCAGAGAGGGTAGGTGGCGGCAGGCCAGCCCCATCAGAAACGGCCCTGGTGTTGACTGCTGGGCAGGGCATCTGATATCAAAACCAGACATCACCTTAGGATGGAAAGAACATGCTGGGTTCTTCCTATGATCCCTCTCATATAGGCAAAGGGGCGGTGAGGTTCAGATACGTAATTCTTTCCCTTTGTGAAACCCTTCCTTCTCTTTCAGTGAATGAGCCTCTGGCACGCTCTTGTGGTGGTTTATTAACGTCACAGACAAAGCACACTTTATTTTTATTTGAATTTGCCAAAAAAAAAAAAAAAAAAAGTTCTATACAAGGCAAACACTTCACCATAAAATATTTAAATTAAAAATAAATAAGTTAGTTTCATCCTACATTAAGTCTCCAGCTGCCACATACAAGTAGAGGACATGAGATATAAATTAAATAAGTTAAAATAGTCTTAGGATATTCTAATTGATAGGTTTAGCATAGACCACCTGTGCGCTGCCTAGCTTTGTTCTAGACCCCCAAATCTGTACCATATCAGGCTACTGAATAGTCCATTGAGACTAGCCCCTCATGGAAAACCACAAGGTGCCCAGGTCCCCAAATCAATTTGGATGTGAGGAGTGGGTGTTTGGATTTAAAACAATGGTTGAAGAGCAGAGATTTATAAGCCAAAACCCTGGAAATTCAGGCCTTTCATTCCTTAAGTCTTCTTATTGTTCACCTGGGGTATGGAAATAGGTAACTTAGCAAAAAACAACACGTGGCCACAGAGCAACAGTCATATGAGTAACAGTTGAGTTGAAGACCTGGAATGTGGCTAAACTCTTCTTTGAACCAACACGTGGCAATGTCCAACACAGTCTTAGCCTATATTTCACCACAGAATCCTCCTTAAGTGGGTTGGATTAACGTAAAGAACTCTGTTCACTTCTGAATTGGTAAACAAGCCTCTGCGGACTGAGTTTAGGCCAGAAATGACAAATACGCAAGGCATATGCCACTATTCCTTTCCATGACAGGAATTACTAATTGATTACTGTACTCTTTTATCTCAGATTCCATCTGAACACAGCACTCCAGGCAGCCTCTACCAATCAATCATGTTTAGCATGTGATGAAAATTATTTACTAAACTTGGTCCTTCTCTGTGTTCTGAACTATTTTGTGTACAGGAGTAGCGATAACACAGGCATTATAGTCTGACACCTGTATGCCTTCAAACTAATCATTTAACCTCTTTGGTTAAATTTATTACATGGGTAAGGCCACCTAACTCTGAGTTGTTAGAAAAATTGGGATAATGTATATAAAGTGCCCAGTATGATGCCACATAGTAGACATCCAATAAGCGGTTAACTATTATCATCATCATCATTATTATTATAAAATCATTTTAAAGCTACTGACTTGACAATGGAGTTGGTGAAGAAGGAGCTGGTTCAAAGAAGGAAAGCATAATGTTATGTTTTAGGCTGAACCATATGATATTCAATTGTTTTGACCTACAGAAATGGCCATTTCTTCTAGTTCAACCTAATACATAATGATGTATTTCATTCAGATCACTTACTTGTTCCAATTATTAGATTCTTCCCTTCAAAGATTGTCCCCAGAGACATACTCCCACCACTCAGTTGCAAAAGCATCCTCAAATCAGTTGCTACAGTAAGCAATGCAAGGAGTCGGCTGGAGATGAAGTTGAGGACCTGGTGTCTAGTTCCACTACCTGGTATCACATAACTTCCTAATGCCTCAGTTTTCCCATCTGTAGATTGGGAATAATTGTGCTTTCTTCAACAGCAATTTTGAGAAGATGAGAAGAGATAATGAATGGAAATCACTTTCAAAAATTAAAATCATGATTCCAAAGCAAGGTATTATTAGTTCCACTAGGTTATGCCACTTGAGAAAACATTAGCATTCAACATTTAATTTTTAATCGTATTTTCTGTAGAAACACTGCACATAAAAGAATAGAGAATTCATGCAATCATGCCAAATGAGCATCAAAACTGATCTTGATAACACTCTCTAGTGAGTATTAGAACTACTAAATATGTAGTGCTTTGTCATTAAAAATCATACCCCATGAAAGTGAAATAAATGTGATAACAGGAATAGTAAGAACCATTGTGTTTACGAGTGCCTCAAACATCAAGCTCTTACATTTAAACCAGAAATCACACACATTAGAACAACTCGCAAGGAAGACAGAGGAATTTCCTCCTTCCTTCCTTAAAGGCCTTTAAAATGGGCTAGGCAAGTTCAATTTTGGTATGGTTTTTTGCTTAAAGAAGGAAATATAGACTTTATGACCTCTCAAAGTTGCTTTAAGACCAATAGCTTTAGCAATTCTAAGAAGGAATCGTTTTATTTTGCCTCCAAGGGGAATTCCTTTCCTGTGCCCTAAGCCAGGGCAACTGGTTAGAAAGGGAGGATAATGCTCCGACCAGCTAGCAGCAAAAGTGAACGTGGATCAGTACCCATCCCCAAGTTTTCTCACCTTGCCCAGTGAACCTTGGCCAATGCAAGGCACTTGGGGAGGGTCACCTTTAGTCAGCCTCAAAGGCACTGTTGGTAGCTCCCACATATTCGCATTTCTTCTTGTGCTTCATCCACATTTTCCGGAGGATGCTGGGGAC